TGTGTATTCTTCATCAAATTTGACTGAGTCTCCGTTTGGAGATCTGTACAACACCCCAACATTGAGTTTGCTATCTCCATGGTTGATAGTTACATATAGGGTTTCTAAATTTGGTGTGATTGTGCAAAGTTGGTCATTAATTGTTGCATTTAGGGAATCATGAATATACAAGCACACGCCTGAGCCTTTAGCTTTGCCTTGGAGTTTATCTCCGTAAAAGTGTGAATATCCATCAAGTGCATAAACATCACAGTTCTCTCTCTTGTTGGCAGCACAGGACAGATTATCAGTTTACAACGTGGGTTGTATTTCCTAATCTGAGCGATTTTGTTCTTATACTTGGTATACAACTCTCTCTCATCCGTTCCATCTACTTTTAAATTGTTGGTTCCTTCCATGATGACAACGTTTCTGTAACCTACACAAGACAAGGGATCGATCTCCTCAACCGTAGCTGCCCAGAGGCGAACTCCAGGGGTGGCTTGTCCCATCTTTCCACGACCTGTACCAAAGTTGATTTGTCCAAAGTTTGAATCTCCAACAAGCACTGTGGAGTTAAAATTTGACCAGTGGATTGAGCGAAAGGTTAGACTATATCGCATTCCTACTTCATCAGACGTTTCAGGCTTGATTGAGTGTTTAAAAAACTCCTGGCTTGCTTTTGTCATATGGTACATGCTTCTACCCTGACATTTTATCTCCGTAATCTTATCTGTAGAAGTTTCACGAAAGCTAAGTGTTCGACATGAGCCTAAGGAAACTGTGAATATCGATGACACCCGATTAATGTCTCCCTCGTTGTCTGAATGTTCAGGAAGTGCTTCATTCCCATCTGCATACCTGTTAACCAGGCAGGAGTTTAGGTCATAGTGGAACTGTTTCTGGGGGTGTGTGGAGGAGAATTCAGTGTTAAGACGTTTCATGATGTTGCCAATCAGGGTGGGCATGGGCTTTGGTTCCGATTTTGCACCCATGTAGTGGTAATGTTGGCCATACTGGATTGTGGCATGCTTACCTTCTTTAGTGAAACTCTCAGCTTTGAGAAAGTCTGTGAGCTCCATCTCTTCATCAGGAGTTAAGAAATCTTCCTTTATCCCTTCTATGCATTTAAAATTATGAGTAAGGGGGGTATCCTTTACTTCAATCCTTGGAACTGATGGAGGTGCTCTTGGATGATGCTGCTGTCCATACGTGGAGGGCATATCAGAGGGTGGTGGGGGTACGGGTGGTGCCTGAGGGATCTGCATGGACTTTACCTGATCTGACAGGGAGCTGAGTTGTTTCTGGATACTATCAATCAGATTGTTGGATGGTTGGGTGATTTCTGCAAATCTTGCCTTAAGCATGCCGTCAAGAGATTCAATAACTGATGCTGACACCTGATTTGCTTCTGATAAAGACTCCAGTTTTAATGCAAGTTTGGCAGACTTATGTGTTTTTGGGCAGGGATGAGGGCATGTGTAGCACCAAGGGCATTCCCAACTCTTAAGTATTTCATCAATGGCTTTCTGGCCAGCTAGTTCACTGCCCTTAAGGTTTGCACAAGCAGAATGCCAGACTTGGTTACAGCGCGAACATGTCAAGAGCCAAGACTTCCCGCCTGAAGTTGCCTTGCAGGGGCATTTGCTCTTCTTGGGCTTAGGTTTCGGTGATGCACTGTTGCTGTCTGAGGCTGAGGTCTCTGCTTCAGTATCTGAGAAGGGGGTTGCTAGTGGTGATATTCCTGGTGATACTCCCGTGCGGTTGAGAAGGGATACTTGCAGAAGGCTTCGGTTCTCTGAACTTGTCGGTGTGGTAGCTAATGTTGAGTTAACATTCTTCTGGTCACCTTCACTCCTGGATCTACTCCGTGTGGTGCTACCCTGGGATTTGCCGTACATTGGACTCCGGATTTCAGGCGTCTTGAACTTCGGGCTATTCAGGCTGAGCTTCTTCTTGTTGTTTTCTGTTTGCTTATTAACCATTATCAGTAGAGGCGGGGGCAGCCGGTGGACCGTTCAGGGTGGTGTCCCGTCAGACAGGCCTCAGGACCTGGGAGAGAGAAGAGTAGTATAGAGTATAATAATGAGCAACGTGAATAAGAATGTGAGATATTATAGATATATAGAAATAATTATAATAAGAATCCATAGACTGACACACTGACATGCCAACGTAGACAGGAATGATATGAAAGTGAGATGATATGGTTGATTATGTGAGGGATGGTATGGAGGATGTTGTGGAAAGTGAGGGCTGGCAAGCACAAATAGCAAAGCCGAAAGAGTGTTAATTATTCAATATCAAATCTGGGTATATTTCAATAAGACAGATAAGATACAATTCGCATACTTTCAACACTACTATTTTAATGATGGCCGGAGGGAGCAACATGAATAAACTATGCTGTGAGCCCTCCAGGTGTGGTGACTGTGATGACTGTGAGGATGAGTGAAGTGTGTTTACATAACAACAGCACAACAAGTACTCAACTCTCAAGCAGGGCCATCAGCAAGTCTTCTGTTTCACCACCCCTGCAGGTTCCACACAGGCTACCCCATTGCCAACGAGTTTAGAGATACATGGTCATTGTGCATTCATGGTACATCCTCAAATTATTTGTTATATAGTAGTGTTGAAAGTATTAAAACTCTCTAATAACAAACAAAATAATAAACAAACAAATAAGCAAAGTTTTGTCTGCTTTCAAGCTCAAAAGTAATAGTAACACTAACACGACTCACGAGCCCTTTAAAGCTTGTAATAATGTAAGGCTTGACTGTGTTTTCTATGGACAAAATTATTTCAACCTAATTTCTGCATGACAATGTTTAACATGACTATGATCCAGCTATCAGGAAAATTTAAACATCTAATGATTTAAAATTATATCATTAGAACTAGAAGTTCATTTAAAAGTATCGAAATCTTAGTTCTATTTTTACAGTCACCTTTTTAACTATTGAGTTCAATGATTGCTAACTTTGATTTACTCTTGAACTAAAATTTGCTGAAATAAAAAAGTTGTATGATAAAAAGGTACACAAAATCAAAAACTTAGTCGATTAAACTCGTTTCTAGTCTGCGTCCAAACTTACTTATTATTATTAAAGTTAAACGTTAGAATTTATAAATAATAGTAAAACAGGATTTATAATATCTCCCAAAGGATCAACCTCGTGAACTGTAACTTCGATTTAATAAAAGGCTCGAATAAAAGCAAAGAGGTTCCTAAGCACTTACCTATTACCCCCATGACATAAGGTTAAAATTCTCCCCTAACGAGATATTGGCGAAAAACTGTCTCGATCACGTGATATGACAATAAGGAAGTTAGCCTAATTTCTCTATAGTGTTTCAGTATATGCTTTTGTAAAGGATTTGGTTAGGGTTAGGCCGTTAGGGTTGGGATCTGATTAGAGGGTTATGGTTTCCGGGTTTCGAATAGTTGTTTAGGGCCATCTACAGAACGGGTTGAAGAAGTCACGTGACAGGCGATTGTAGAGTGATTAATCATCATCCAACATAACTGCCATTGTTAACAGTTAATTAATTAGGTATCAACAATCAAGCACAATATATAATACAGCAGGGCTGATTACTGCTGACACATTATAAAGCAACTAAGAGGAGAAATATGGATGATGGAATAACGCGAGGCAACAGTGAACTGGGCGCAATTGAGGCGCGAACAGTGAACGCACGAGGTGTAAAGGTCAAAGTGCTCCTTCATCAATTATGTTCACTCTTAGACGGATTTGACACGCGAAATTGCGCGGCAATTATGCGCGGCGCGTAAAACTTTTGTAAACCTTTCGGACAAGGGTTAAATTATTTTTCTACTGTCAACACAGCCCAAGTTATGCATGTTTTAATATCAAAAAATGTCCAATTTTTTTGTATCATTTTTAACTAATTTCTTTTTCAAATCGCTGCCACATCAAAATTATTTTACGAAAGTACATTAAATTTGCACAGAAAGCAAGCTTAATCGTTTTAGAACTATATTAAAAAAGAATTTAATATAAAAATGTTAAAACTTTAAAATTATCAATTGAATAAATTGCCAATGTCCAAATATGTGTAAAATACGACGAAGAGGGGTCACAACACTGCGCGCAGCAGTGATGAAATCCTCATTTATGTTGGCTGTAATTAATGGTGTCCCATCATATGAAATTAACAATAGCTTTAACTATTTTTACACTCCGTCTTTATGATAAAGCTGCTTTTGATTCAATCAATCGTGACTTTATTTGGAAAGCTTTTGAACATTATGGTCTTCCAACAAAATACATCAATGTTTTCAAAGCGTTCTTTAGAGCAACTGAAAGTGCAGTTCGTGTCAATGGGGAATTGACAAGATGGTTTGATGTCGATTCGGGGACTGGACAAGGTGATGTGCAAGGGCCTCCCATTTTCAACCTTGTACTTAACTGGGGATTAGAACTTGCCGAGAAGTTTAAAAATATATCGCGTGGTTTTACTCTTCAGTACAGACAAAGTTCCAGACAACCGGAAAAATGTGTCATTGATTTGGACTATGCTGATGACATAGCAGGCATGGATGACACTGTCGAGGGACTGCAAGAAACAACGGACAATATTGCGAAATACTGTAGGCTTGGGGGTTTAAAGATTAATGCAAAGAAAACAGAGATCATGGTAATTGGGAAAGATACGTCGCAGCACCCACTCCCAGAGAATAGGACCATAGATATTACTGTCGATGGAAACTCTGCAAAGCAGGTCACTCAATTCACTTATTTGGGTGCCAAAATTACATCGGATGGCAAGATCGATAAAGAAATAAGTGTCAGGATTGGAAAAGCAACCGGAGCTTTTAACCAACTCAATAACATTTGGAAGAATAAGAACATAAGCATTAACAACAAAGTGCGAATCTACATCGCAGCTGTTCTTACCATTCTGACCTATGGAAGTGAGATATGGAACACGACTCAAGTGCAGACAAGAAGATTAGAGTCTTTCCATCAGTACTGCTTTTAAACTAATTACTACACTACAAATCTATTACATTTATTGAGTTCAGGGATGGCTAACAATGGCGGGCAAACGGGGCACATCGATAGTGACCCAGCCAGTACAGAAACTAACGAGAGAAAGGAGATATGCTTCTATTGTCAGAAGTATGATGAACCACTTGCGAGAAAGAAGATTGTTTGGCTAGGTTGTTCAACATGTGAGAATTGGTGGCATAGTAGTTGTGCCGGCTTGGCTGGTCTAACCGTTACAGATGTCAAGAAGCTGACAGTGTGGAACTGCCACTTTTGTTTCGTTTTGCCTGAGAAACTCAAATTTGAAAAACTTACTGATGACGTTGCTAAAGAACTGACAAGTGTTATACAGACTGCTGTCAGCGCCAGTGTGGAACAATCTATCCAGAAGGTTCTTGTAAATGATGTTGTTTCAGAAGCCAATAAGAAGATACACAAGAGTTGGGCTGAGATAGCCAGTGGGCAGCAGAAGAAATTGATAGCTGAAGTGTGTCAGCACGCAGCAGGCCCTGCAATAACCACCATCTCACAACAGATTGATGCTAACATGCAGGAAAGGAAAAAGCGGGAGAATAACATTGTTCTGTCAAACTTACCTGATGAAGATAAGGAAAATGAGAGTCAGGAACAACTAAAGGCTATCATCTGTCGACATGCAACAGATCTTAACCAGAGTGACATTGTATCAGCAAAGAGAATAGGTGTATTTGGCAACGTCAACCGTACAAAGTACAGGGGAAGAATGGTCATTGCGAAGCTAAAGAGTGAAGAGTTAGCTACTTACACACACAACCATGGACGTGGGTTTGCTTATCATGGAAAAAAGAAAAGTGATGATGTATGGATAAATCCTGACTTGATCAAGGCGGATCGAGATATCCGGTGGAACACACGCAATGCTAAACTGGAAACTGATAAGAGGACGAAAGTAACTGCTGACAAACCACCCAAAGAGGAACTGCCAACTGATGTGGCTCCTGTAACAAATGTAGAGCGTGCGGATAATAAAGAAGATGTTGTCCAGAATGCTGTGAAGGCAAAAAACGAGTAGCGAGTTGCGTAAAGGAATCACAGGGTATCAGGATGCTGTACACTAATGCTAATTCCCTGTACAATAAGATGACGGAACTCATGGTTTTGTCAGAGACTCACGACGTTCAGATCATTTGTGTGACAGAGTCCTGGCTAAATTCAGATATTGTTGACGCTGAAGTGTCTATTCCTAATTTCAACCTCTTTCGTGCAGACAGACCTAATGAAACACGTTTTGGGGGATCTGCTATCTTTGTCCACAAAGCACTGAGGGTAGAGCGATTGGATTGGTTTACTGGTCTTGAATCACTTGCGGTAAATATTGTAATCGACTCTGTTAGGTTCAATGTTGTTTGTCTGTATCGGTCTACTTCACTTGTTGATATGAAGGACAATGCTGGCCTGTTAGGTGCTCTTGAACGTTTACCAGTTAATGCGGATGAGGAGTTGGTGATAGTTGGCGATGTGAACCTACCTCATGTTAACTGGGACAAAAGTTTAGTCGAGCGCCCACCAAACTCATGTGACAGAAGGTTGCTGATGGAATCAGAATTCTTGAATGTCTTTACCAGGAAAGGTTTGAAGTGGTATGTCACTGGGTCTTCGACACGTGTCAGGAAGGTTGGTGATACAACTCAATGCTCCTTGCTTGATCAGGTCTTCTGCAATAATGATTGTTTTGTAAATAATGTTGATATCCTTGCTCCTCTGGGTAAAAGCGATCATGTATCACTACTGGTCGAGCTGAAAGTCAAAAACAATGTCGAGTTCCTTACATCTAAGAAGAAAAGCTGGTATAAGGTGGATCAGGACTTTGTTAACACACAGTCATCAGACATCAGCTGGGGGTACTCTAGAGAAGATCTTCAGGTCGAAGAGATGTGGGAAGAATTACACCAAAAACTTAGTGTCATTTCAGATCGTGTTCCAACCACCCACCTTAAAACAACTAAAGGTGGGGAGATTTTACAGAGGTTACCCTGGGATTGCTCTAGTCTGGTTAGGAAAAGAAAGTGCAAGGACCGGGCATGGAAGGATTTTGACGAGGATCCTACGATGGTGATGTTTAACGCAGCCGAGTACGAGCAGCGGATGTACCAGAACGCTGAGATTAAGGCAAAGATCAAATATGAGAATAAAGTGACTAAATTGTTTAAGTTAAATTGTAAACCTCTTTTTAATTACCTTAAATCTAAAAGTGTTTTAAGAAAATCTGTAGAAAGACTTAAAACAGATGATGGTTCTGAGACCAAGTCTCCTTCTGAAACAGCAGAAGTGTTAGCTGATTTTTTCCAGTCAGTCTTTAAACCTGAACCTTTTGGCCCTCTGCCTCAAAATTGTTATACAGAATGTAATAATGATTACTTCTGGAGTAAATTTATGGTGCACCCTGAAAGTGTTGCCAAGATTTTGGGATCACTAGATATTAGTAAAGCTATGGGTCCTGATGGTGTTCATCCTAGACTCCTGAGGTATTTAAGTGAGAACAGTTCCTTTGTGGATGCGGTTGTGTTGCTGTTTAGTGCCTGTGCTTCTGAGCAGTATATTCCTGAGGTATGGAAAACTGCCACTGTTGTGGCCTTGCACAAAAAGGGGTCAGTACATAGTCCTAATAATTACAGGCCTGTGTCACTGACTTGTATACTATGCAAAGCCTATGAGAAGCTTCTTAGGGAGTATATTCTCGACGGTGTTGAACAGGTGCTTAGTAGCACGCAGCACGGCTTCATGAAGGGTCGGTCATGCTTATCTAACCTACTGGAGTCTATTGACGCTGTCAATGACTTGCTGGCTGAAGGTGGCTGTGCTGATATATTATACTTTGATTTCTCTAAGGCCTTTGATAGCGTACCACACCACCGTTTATTAGTTAAATTAAGAAATGTTGGTGTTCCTGAGGAGATAATTGGTATTTTAGAAAACTTTTTAGTAGGGAGGTCTATGAAAGTTAAAGTAGGAGATGAATTTTCTGAGATTAAGTATATACTTTCAGGAGTGCCCCAAGGCAGTGTTTTGGGACCATTGCTCTTTCTTTTATTTGTAAATGATCTTCCAGAAGGAATCAAAGCTATCATCAAACTTTTTGCTGATGATGTTAAAATGATTGTTAATCCTTTTATTAATCTAACAGCTGATTTGAAGTTGCTAGAACTTTGGGAGTCTCGTTGGTGTTTAAATTTTAATGTAGATAAGTGTATGGTCATGCAAATTGGTTCTTGTAATCCTAAGAATCAGTACTTGTTTGGTGGTGTGCCTTTGAGATGTGTTGAAAGCGAGAAGGACCTTGGAGTTGTCTTTAACACCAGCTTCAACTTTGAGGGTCATGTGAGAAAGTGCATTGCTAAAGCTAATAGTACCATTGCCTGGCTTACAAGAAATATTATATCGAGGGAGAAAAGCGTTATGCTGGGCTTGTATAAGTCTTTAGTAAAGCCTCATATAGAGTATTGTTCACAGGCATGGGCTCCAATGGCTAGGCATGGAAACTGGTCACTGATTCTTGAATTGGAAGGTGTTCAAAGATCGTTCACCCGTATGATTGATGGATTGGGACTCATGACGTACAGAGAGAGACTGGATAAGCTGAACCTCACAACCCTGCTTGAACGCAGGGTTCGTGGAGATCTCATTGAGATGTTCAAGATCCAGGAAGGCTTTGTGGGTTATGGTTCCGATTTATTTGGTCGTTCTGGTAGGACCGTTGCTGCTAGATCAAAGACTCATAGATTCACCACAAATGAGACTGATTTCTTTGCCCAAAGGGTCTTGCGCTATTGGAACAGTCTACCACCACTTGTGAAAGCTAGTGAGTCAGTTACTGGTTTCAAGAGGGGATTAGATGCCTTTCGGCTTCATGGATATCGAGCTAATAAGCTTGGTCATCACTGGGAACTGTCATATGACATCTTTGATAGGATAGATGTGTCTGTGTCTAATAGGAATAGTTATGTAAGTTATATGAAAGAGAACCCATTGGTAGCTAAGAGGAAGAAGGTTAATATCAAAGGTATTTAGTTAAATTTTTTAAAAAGTTTGTAATTATATGGTTTCAAACGTAAAGTGTTCATTTTCTATGAATTTCTTTTTGAGATGCCCAGAGAGGCATTATTTATAATGTTATGTTATGTTATGTTATGCTTACGCAGAATCCTGAGAGTGAGGTGGTTCCATCGAGTAAGAAATGAAGATGTTTTAAGAAGGGCTTCAATAACTGCTCTTACTGACATAATAGCAACAAAACGGCTACGTTGGTTTGGACATGTCAGTAGAATGCCTGAAGATCGGTTACCTAACTATCTACTTGAATGGAAACCCAAGCATGGGAAACGATCAAGAGGCAGGCCTAGGAAGAGCTTAAATGATGTATTTATTGAAGATGCTGAGCAGAGATTGGATCGTAATGGACTCACGATTGATTGTATGAGAAGATTGGCTGCAGATCGAAAAGGATGGAGAAATATTACCCGCCGAAGTTGTATAATACAAAGTAATGACGCAGATGACGCAGACTAATACTTTTGGATGGAGATCTCGCCATGTAACATGTATGTATGTCTCTATGATAACTAAAAGGTGTTTCGGAGTCTTAGTTAAGTAGCAGGGTCTCATGTGTTTTCTGACCAAATTAAGCTGCAAGTCTAAATTTAAAAACTTAAGTGAAGAAGTATAGATCTGTATGGCGAATGTCTCTCTTATTTTATCCGCCTACCACGTCTGACCTGATGCCATTTTCACTCTAAGGTCTATATACTTCTCTGTATATAATTGTACATAATTCTGTCAACAAATGTCAAAGTGGGTATATCTATGTAATTTTCGTACTACTTTAATGGTTACCTTCATGCCCACAGTTTAATGTTAAATCTCACTGTACCGTTTTTATTAACTGATAACTTATTACATACTACATGTTTAATTCTATGTTCTTAAAGGGTATTCTGTTTGACTAACTTGAATGTCCTGCACAGCGCGCGGTGCAGTTATTTTTATCAAGACACTTATTTTACTTCGGAGTATTCCAACAGCCACATTGTTACACAAGTGCAACCAGGCAATTACAGGAAGCCGAAGGATTTGTTTTTAGCCAGTGACGGTTAAGGTAGTGTGTACCATACTTTCTTTGTCCGAGACTTTGCTGCAATGTGCAGCTCCTCATTTAACCCTCACACCCGATTTCTCGAGTATTCGGCTGAGTAGACCGGGGGGCTGCATAGACCACTCAGGATCCTTAGCTGAACGTCAACGACACTCACCCCACGACCAGGCAGACAGTGGGACTTGAACCCGCAACCTCACGATTGAAAAGCTGGCGTTCTAACCAACTGCGCTACCTGGCCGTTAAACAATATCGGAAAGTGTGGTAGTGAAAACAAAAAATATTATTTGCTTTGATGTATCGTACAACACGGCCAACTTAAACAAGAATTTCGCCGCGGTAACACCACGCACGATCAAATTTCCCTACTGCCTACCATGTAATTGTTCTACTTTATTGTTATCCCAGAGTGGTGTTTTGCGCACGTGATAATCGTTTATATTATATTAGGCGTGCAGAACTTGAAAAATTCTGCGCGCATCTGAGGTGTCGCCGTCGATCTGTATGTGGTTTGGTTGTAGATCATTTCATATTTTGCGCAATTTTGTTACGTGTTAACGATGCGTATCATCAATCATGTCACGTCATATTATTGCATTGTATGCCAACTTTAATGACTGTTATAAAATAGTCTGTATCATCTTAGTTATTATCTAACATAAACTAATACATTTTGATGCTTACTCGAATACTCGACACATCTACAGCACCATCGATTATCGAGCCTTTGATTTGATATAGGATTCTTTAAAAGCATACCACAATATTGATCTTAGTTGCTTCTTGAATGTAAATGTAAAGTAACATCTTTTCTCAACTATATGTTTTCGCTTTTTACCATTAAGTGTCAATCAACTGTTAAATAATCAGCCACGAGTTTATCAGCTGATATCATAATTTAATTTGTTTTGACTTGCTGAATATTATCACTCGGTAAAATATTAAGCTTGTTTCACCAAAATAACACTTATGTTGATGATTGATCCGCTCAGATGACTAATATGCTATATTAATGAATTAGAGTGAATTGTAACCCGATGGAAACCTGTGTAACAGTCGGCAAGCACCAAAATTTTGCTGCTATGGCTGTAATTAATTAACACATAACTGGCGTCGCGCGCGCAAAATAGACTCCTTTTATACACATAATTATAGGGGAGTGGTCTATATTGCGAAGGAGCAGACTTTTGTCATCATCGTAGGACCGTCGGGCCACCTCATATATCCAAACCCGATTACTTATTCCCTACGATCTTTTTGCCTTCGGCAAGAGCAGGGAAAAAAATCCTAACCTGACCTTACTTTTTAATTGACATATAAAACTTCATTTTTCATTATTAGTTTTCATTTCATCAGTAAAATGAATGTGACCTGTCTACACTATACCTATATTTACTAGTTTAGATTCAAGCAGTTAGTAAAGTCCAAAGAATCTCATGTTGGGCTTATCCCTTTCAACCTTTTTCCATCATGTGAATCTTGTGATTATTTTTATAAACCATTGATAAATTTAGGCCATAATCTTTCGCCAGCTCTCCAATATCCACCTTGAAGCTGCATTTTTAATCCTTGAACTACACAATATAAACTCTTGAAGCATGTTTTAGTGTAGACTTTTTGTCTCAATAAGACTGCAACCTATTAAAACCCTTAAACAGAACCCCTAATGTCTGCTAACAATTTTTCTTCTAATCCTAATGTGAGCCTTGTCTCTAAAAACTTAACTGAACTAGCGTTTCGGTGTGTTCAAAAGCTTCCAGGCACGCGCATTCCTTGCCCCATTAGTTACCTGTCCTTCCAAAACCAAACAAGCAGTCAAGGACAAAAAGTCATACACCAAATGGGCATTATATTTTATGAATTGTTTTACATCTTTTTATTCTGTAAAATGTGCTAAAATTAAATTTCTTGTTTCATTGAAAACTTCTTGTTTCATTGATTGTTGATCGCACATAGACAGTGAGGATAAACGATGGTCAATTATCCGTTTAATTTTTTAATTGGTTTTAACCCAATTTTTTTGATTTCAACACTGTTGAGTGACTTTTTTTGAACAGGGGCTTAGTAAGCCCCATCAGCCTACTATCCCCCTTGAAACTTATAGTTCAAATGTCCACTTAAATGTATCCCCTCGGCCCCCCCCCCCCCCCCCTCTGACGTGTCACCCCGCCATGTAGTCGATCTGCAGGGCTGTTGTTGTATTTGATATCACACTAACTTTCATATTTTGTTTTCAGTGAAGAAAATGTCATTTGCTGCTCAGTACACCAAAAAGTTTATTCTCAATAAGACAGGCCAAGCAAAAGCCCCAACCAAATGTCAGAGATGTTTAGAGACTGGTCATTGGACGTATGAGTGCAAGAATGAACGCAAGTATGTAAAACGGGAGCCAAGGAGTAAACAAGTTGACAAAGGTCCTCCAAAAACCTTAGAGATTCCAAAGAAAGAAAAGAAGGTTGTCATAAGCTCAGAGAGTTCATTATCTTCAGATTCAGAGGATGATAATGAAAAGGTGAGCAAGACTAAAAAGCTATCAAACTTAATATCCAATAAGTTGCAGACAGGGGCTGATTTGAAAGAGAAATCTGACTCCTCATCTTCCCCATCCCCTTCTAAAAGAAACACTGAATCTCCTGTAACATTCACAGAAAGATCAGCTAGAAAATCCCCTCAGTCCAAACCTAAGAAAAAATCTTATTCAAGGAAATCTTCTTCCCCATCCATATCCCCTTCTAGAAGACAATCTCCTGAAAAAGTTGATGATGCATTGCCTGAGTCCAACTCTTATAAAAGATCTTACTCAAGGAAATCAAGAGTTACAAGATCTGTATCACCAGACCCTCAATCTCCTGCAAATTTAAAAATAAAAGACACATCATCTAGGAAATCCCCAAAGTCAAACTATAATAAAAAATCTTACTCAAGGAAATCAAGAGTAACCAAACCTGTATCATCAGACTCCGAATCAGATTCGTCAATTTCCTCAGCTGAAGAAAGATCTCACAGGAGAAAAAAGTCGAGGAAAACAAAGCGATCTAGTTCAGAATAAGACAATGGAATCTGCTATACTGTGCTGTTCAATCCTCCTTGGTAGAGTTATGTCTGTATTGCTCATTGATGCTGCAGGAAGTGCTTGTGTTCATTTCGTGGTGACATGCCTGCTAAATCTTTGTTTAACTGACAGTAGAATCCACAGTGAGGGAGAAGTCTCCATTGAGTTGTAATTAGAAAAGAATAACTTTTTCACTTGTGATGATTGCTTTAACTAGTATTATTTTAAATATTATTATTTACGCTGCCTGACTGATATCAACTGTTGTGATAATAATATTAAATGGACAGCTGGTGTACTTATCATACGACTTTTAAAATGTGTAAAGCATATTGAATTACTGTGTTTTGCTCACTACTCAGGTTCACTTAAATGAATGATAAAACAACAGCAGTTAATAATAAGTACAGCATTGTGCTATGCTGGACAGATGTTCATCCCAATATTTTCATTTTCCATAGTTTCAAACAGCTGTGTTGTATATTTTACAAAAGTTTGCAGTATTTTATTGAATCATAAGATTTCCTTAAGATATGAATATCTCAAATACTTATGACTTTCCCTAATCTATAAATAGTGCTCAAAATTCTGTTGTTAAATGTTGAAGCTAAGACAATCTTTACAATCTTTTCATTAAATTTAAAGTTAAACCTTGTATTACTTACAATAGCCATGCTGGAAACCCTCAACGATTTCACAAGATCCCTGGGATCAATGTGGGGTATTGTCTCCATCCTGGTGGTATGTGCCCCTGCAGCTCTAGCTGTCCACGAGTTCACCGCCTACAGAATGAACCAGTACACTCTCAGTGGAAGTGACTATGGTTGCAAGTCAAACATGGTTAGTTAACTGAGGTCTTACTTTTTACCTCATCGTACTCGGCCTCGTATTGAATTGATTATAATTATATACTGTGTTACGACATTAGTTTTGGATTTAAATGTTCTAAAAATCTTACTAATTGATGATTTATCGTTACAGGTTAACTTTGAGGCTCGTGCTGTCAACGCTAACATAGTTACCCGGCGTTGTGTTCTCATGTCGATGGGTGAAATATCGGTGGACAGAATGAAAGAGCTGATTGAAAACAAGGCTGGTTCCATCCTCATTGCCATCCCTGAAGATACCTCGTCCCTTACCAAAGGTTCCATTTTTATCATCTATACTATATCCCCCCTTTGGTTGTGATGGATGTTTTTTGATGCAGTAAAAAGTATCGACTAGGGAATACTTAAATAAAACCTTTATCGTTATCGGCAAATAAAAATCCATACAATTTATATTACGGAGCTAGATCATAGATAGATAGATGATGACAAGAAACTATAACATAACTGATTTTAAATTTTCTTGAATAAAGCTTTTAGCTAGCGGGTGTACAGGTTTGGGGAAGCCTATGATCTAGGTAGGCAGAAAACTCAGTGTTTATCATATTATAAGGCACAACACTCATACTCGAAAAAAGCTTTAAAATCGTACAAGAAAAATGTATGGTCAGGAACAGGTCGTAATAATATACGGAATATTGATTATTGAACCTGTCCCTTTGATCACGAATCAATACGAACAAAAAGGTAGATTGATAACAGCGTGAATATGATGTATATAAGATGAGCTATAGGAATGAATAGATATTATGTTTCGCTCTATAAGGCAGTTTACCCTGGCCGAGTCTATCGAGCTTGTAGTAAAAATATATTAACTTGTTGAGGATTACATGCGATGAGCAATTCTTACTTTATATCACAAGATCCAATCATGTCGACTAACATTCCCTACTCAAAGTCAATATCCCATTCACTTTTGTTTGTTTGGGGCTGGCTTTTACACCAGTCAACGTTTACTCAAAATATATAATAATTGTAATAATCAATATTAATCCCCGAAGGGCACGCAAATTACATGTCATCGAACTCATAGTTATTTCATCTAGATTTTATCAGTTGATTCTGATGACCCTGATCTGCAAACACATTTAAAAGCTTAAACGTTTATATACAATTCTTTACTTGATAATACTGTCGTAGGTGTTTTATCAGTATAGAGGTATAGGTTTGCGCTAGTTGGCAGTGAAATATGGAATGTGCTGTCAGGATGGCACGATAAGTGATTTAGATGGGACACTGATATAATAGGGAAAGTTGAGCTGCATATGTTAGGTTACTATTAAGTGTCGGCTGTTCTTTTTGATTTACGAAATCCTGGTAAGTTATGGAGTGGAAACTTTTTGTTTGAAGTTAAAATAATTAAAGTAATTGAGCCCATGTATTATCAGCACCTGCTTGTGCTATCTTGACAGTGAGAAGACAGTGAAAAATGTGGCATATGGTTGATAGTGACTAGTTATAGTGTGCTAACCGTCTAGTTTTACTTATTCCTTAGGAGCTTAGGTTATTCTCGGTAGTTGATTTGTTGAGTGCCTGATCTTGCTGATTTACTGTAATTGTTAAGCTAACAAGGTAGTACACGTGTGTGAACAATGTTGCGTTATCCAGCTGTTGTCGTGCGAAGTACCTACAGCTTTACACGTCACGAGGCACACTTGCACTGTTCCTACTCAAGTATTGTATCCTACAAATCTTCTCTCCAGATACTATTTATTCAGGCAATACTATCGAGAATATATCTATTTATATTTTAAACTTGACGAAAAAAATCCATAATTCTTACAGTATAACAGAGCTAGATGATGAAGAGAAATTAAAACATAACTGATTTTTTTTAATTTCCTCGAACAAAGCTTTCGACTAGCGGGTTACTAGTTTATACTATTTTACTTAATATGCAGAAGCCTGGACCATTTCTTAGAACGTTGAAGTGAATTAAACCGTTTTTAAGTGCGTTGAGTTTAACATCTTTGTTTCAAATTCTGCAAAAAAGGTGGTTGGTATATTGATATAATTGATGTAATTGATAACCTTTTAAAAGTTGTAAACAATGCAAACTTTGCAGATGAGATCGACAATTGGAATGAGGTTGAAGAGGTACTGATGGAGCAAGCAATTGACACAAGTGTTTACTTCACCTATCAGAAACCAGAACTCATGAGTATATACCATGAGGTGAGATTCTAATATTATTATGGGGGGCGGCCGGGGGGGGGGGGGGGGGGGGGGGGCAACATGATATCAGGCAATTAACATATTTAAATCCTTGTTATAAACTGCTTGTGCTTCTTAGAGTTTAAACAATCTAACCTTGAAAAGACTATTAACTGTGGCTCATCTGATGATTCAATGTCAGGTACGGACTGGTCTGAATAGTGACCATGCAGCCACGGCCGCTGCAGCACTTGGTAACGTGTTCCATTCTAACGGCTACCAGATAGTCACGTACGGAACTACTCCTGCTCCTGTCAAATCTTCCCTTTATACTATACAGGTAGTTACACTCCCTTCCTCACAACATTGTTTATTTAAGTTTATTGATTACGATTTAGTCGCGTCTCGGCAGGTTTTTTTTGTGCAGAACTCAGAAGCATGGCCATATTTATGTATCAAATATTTAAAGCTTATTACCTTGTCCAGGGTAAGATGCTGAGCCAAGGAAGAGAAACCAACCCCAGTATTGCGATAGTAGCCCACTTTGACAGCTACGGTATAGCTCCTCACCTAGCTAAGTCAGCTAATGGTAATGGTAGTGGGGTAGCAGCTCTACTAGAAATATCCAGACTTCTTTCTAAGTAAGCTTTAAAGCAGTTTTATCACTATATACATCGTGCTAGTTATGATGGCATGTAACGTGTCGATATTTGTTCCACTACAGAAACATATTATTGTAAACGAGACATTAGATAATAAAAGTAATTAGCATCTAATTAATTAAATTTGAACACCATCAGGTTATATAGTAAATCAGGCAACACCCCAAAATACGACGTGCTATTCCTGCTATCAAGTGGAGGGAAACTAAACTATCTGGCCTCTAAAACCTGGCTTGAGAAGAAGCTCTCATCTGACTCCCTAGAAACAGTTCTGTTGAATGAGGTGGAGTTTGTGCTGTGTCTGGATGGTATTGGTAATGACGGATTTAACGTCCACGTTTCAAAGCAGCCAAAAGAAGGTTCGTCAATTTGATAATTCATCACAATAATATGTAATATCCGCTTTCAGGTTTTGCGAAATGATTCTAGCCATTCTATTGTCCAGAATGTAAAGTAACAATTAATTCTGTTGGATAGAATAAGCAGTCATCGCCTAAAATATCTAGTAATACTAAATTATTTGTTCATAACTCATATTTATTGTGTTTTCCACTCTCAAAGGTGATCAACCCTGTAATATTTACAGGAACAGCAGCTTATAAGATGCTGATGGCTATTGAAGAAGCTGTTGCTCTCATCAACCCCAACATATCAGTAAACACCGTTCCAAAGAAGGTAAATATTTTCAGCACGTTTTCAACAAACAGGCGTCTATCATCAAAGTATGATCTCACTCTGTTTTTAAGCAGTTTCATAAGCATTTTCATAAGCAGTTTATTAAGCAGTTTATTAAGCAGTTTATTAAGCAGTTTATTAAGCAGTTTATTAAGCAGCTCATGACTTAGAAGGGTTGGTAGTGTTTTGTATAACGCTGGCAATATACCGATCAGTAAACCTCTATTATAGAGTTAGTTACCCAAGTCGAATTAGGATGTACACGTGTAACGAATCCATGGGTGAAAGCAGCCTGGTAAACTTATAATTAACCACGCTACAACTTCTAACATTCTTCAGCTTCCTGTATACCTTATATAAGCTTCCTGTAATTAGCCAGTTACATTCCAGTCATTGTCCACACTCCACACTAAATACTTGCCCAGTGTAAGCATTTTCAGAAATGTATATTGTATATTAACTAATTATATGTATTATAATGTTACCCCCCCCCCTCAGGTGAACCTGGGTAACCCCCTGTTTGCTTGGCACCACGAGATCTTCACAGTAAAGCGTCTCTCAGCAGCAACTATCTCCAACTACCTCTCTTATAACTCTCTCGGCAGACTCAACACTTTCGACAACAAGGGTAACACACCTAGTAACCAGTAACCTAGTAACCTAGTAACCAGTTACCTAGCAACCAACACATCTAATAACCAGTAACTTAGTAGCCAGGTTAACACATCTAGTAACCAGGGTAACCTAGTAAACAGGGTAACAAACCTAGTAACCTAGTAAACAGGTTAACAGTGTAACACAACAGTACAATTTGCATTACATGTTTTAAATACCAGTAAACCTCGTTATTTAAATTGGGGCATGTGTATCTTACGGCTTATTTCTCGTGATCATACATAATGTGAAGTGTAATAGAGTTAGACAAGTTAGCAAATACACATCTCCCTTGCCTCATAATTAGATCAGTGGGACAAAAGGTACCCCTGAACATATATCAGGGGTCCACGGTGATCATGTAACCAATCAGTAACGATTAATTTCTTAATTAGTGAAGACAATGCTAACCTGGTGATATTAATTAGTTTTAAGCATTGGTTGTAATAGTGTTGAGTGATCCACAATGCCTTCATTTGAAACTTGATCCTATTTCAGTTGATGTAGATAAGCTTTACACTCACACCCATCTTATTGCGGAGGGCATTGCCCGTTACATCTCGGACCTTTCTGACAAATCTGTCACTATCCTCGATGATTATTTGGTGAGTTTCTATTATCTATGTCGCTCATTTTGATATCACTTTTTTCAGATAACTTTCGTGTATTTCACAACCAGACGTTAAACATTCCTTTTTCAAATACTCTTTATAGTTTTTCTTAACTTAGAATAGTCCTACACGAGTACACGGTCCACTTTGTGACCGCACACATTTGCTAGTTAAACACTATTTGCTATATAAACACTGCACTATTTGCTATCTACTCATGTAACTGTACATTGTGCAGGTACCCAACACTGCACTATTTGCTATCTACTAATGTAACTGTACATTGTGCAGGTACCCAACAAGCAACTGCTGGCCCGCACCGTAGAGTTCCTCGCCAAGACCCAGAGATCAGCCACTTTGTTGCAACGAGACAGTCCCGTCATGCTCAACCTTGAACAGGTACGTCTCAACGTACTTAGTTTCTGCGTGTTTATTACCTTATATTAGGTCACGTACTTTTGTTCTGTTTTAATTAGCAGAATGTAATTGCTGGGGGTGTAGACTATGGCTCCATAACTTGTTTATTTTAGTCGTATAATGTATACTTACTTTACTGTATTTTAAATCGTTCACATGCCGAAACGGATGTCGGGGTGTGTTGGTCATCTCGTCAATGGCCCTCTTGCGGGACACCTCTGAAGCAAGCTTATTTCCATTTTTCTGCTTGCAGTTGTCTATAAAATTTGACAGCTTTCTCCTCGCGTCTCTTACATCTTTAAACGCATTAGGTTGGTAAATCATTGCTACCCTAATTAATGCAATTACTACATCCCAATGCATGTATTTATGGGGAGCGTTCTCATATCCCTGTAATGATTCCTTCGTTGCTCCACAAATTGGCGGCAACTTAATGACCTTCAATAGGTCGGGATCATTCTGGTACTGATGATCAAGGAGTACCCTCCATAAAGAGATAGAATTCTTTTTTGAGGTTAGTTTGGCAACCAAAAGAACCTGTCTAAACTCTTTCTCTAATTCCCCCCGTCTTTATAGGCAGGGAGCTTCAAGTCACTTTTCTTGCCTTTCTCATCACTCAAACACAATTTCTTGGCAGGAGGGCCAGGGGGAGTCTGATAATGGAAGGCTGAGTTGCCGAGTTGGTTGGAAGCCTCAACTACAACCTCCATAGGCTTTTGCAGAGCAGCCTTTTTTATTTCTCGCACAGATTCACTCACTGTATGAAGGACCTCTGTCAAATCCTTGTAGTCAGTCTTGAGGGTTTCCGTGTCTCTTTCAGGACTTTGTTTTCCCTTTCCAAGTTCTCACATTTCTCCCCTAATCGTGTGGTTTTAAGATCCTTGTAGTCAGTCTTGAGGGTTTCCGTGTCTCTTTCAGGACTTTGTTTTCCCTTTCCAAGTTCTCACATTTCTCCCCTAATCGTGTGGTTTTAAGATTGTTACAACTGTAACAATGGACCATTGGCCTTTTTAGTGCTGCCCCACACTTGACTGAATTATATTTTTATATATAAATTGTTATAGTGTAGATCTCTCCTATAACATTTCCTACACATATGTGTTACCTTTTCTTCCACGCAATTGTTCCAACCAGCTGTTGAGATATGTGGCATTACCGCACCAGGGCTCGTTTCTCGTCGCCATTTGCTGTGTATACACTATAACAAGAGAGACACTTACTTCCCAAACATAAACCCCTAATAAATAAAATCAATTAGTACAGGAATATAACAAGATACAACAGTGGACATGATAATTGTCGGGAGTAATATAGTCTTCACAAGTGGAATAATCCTGTTAATAAAAGGATATTTTAAAACGATTTATTTAATGTGATTATCGATTAGAAACTTGATTTATTATTAGCTAACACAACCTCGACTTGTTCGCGTTCCTGTTGGGTAGGCCAAGTCTTTAACTTTCCTATACTTTTCACGTTAAGGTGTTGTTGCAGGTTGGTATCTGCATCCTTTCCACAAAACGGGGATATTGGAAGTAGTATAGCTTGTGAACTTCGCCGTCCACATCAAACTTCAATTCACGCAACTGCTGTAACAGTATGTTGTATCACTAATTATTAAACACATTGATTATAATAAGCTTTCTTTTTATTGATGATTAATATTTCATAACTGGCGTGTAGTGCAATTACCTCTACAGCTAAGTCATTAGCTGAGATGCTGAGTGGTTCCCCTGACCTGGCTGCACGTAACATGTAACACCCGGTTACTAACGTGTCCCGGACCAGGGTGAATTGATCTAGCCAGCTATCCCCCGGGAGCTCCATCAGTATCTTTGTCAGCTCCTTGTACAGTGGGCTGAACACAGGTCCTCTGCATTTTTGACTATCAGTATTGTCTTTTCAGCTTTAGGGTAGTATTCAAATCCTGGACCAATTTTGCAAAGTCTATTCGACTAATTTGCAACCTCTTTACTGTCTTTAGAAAAACTCTTTATCATCGACAGCGCTGACATCTCGTTATCTTCTCCTCTACAACTAGTTTTACGTACTTTTTCCTATAAAGAAACAAATTTTTTCGCGCGGACGAGCCGCGCATGTGATATAATTATTTGAATGTTAGGGCGTCATTTATTCTGGTTTCAAGATTGTTACAACTGTAACAATGGACCATTGGCCTTTTTAGTGCTGCCCCGCATATATTTTCTATATTAATTGTTATAATGTAGATTCTTCCTATTACATTTCCTACACATATGTGTTCCCTTTTCTTCCACGCTCGTGGACATGATAATTGTCAGGAGTATTATAGTCTTCACAAGTGGAATAATCCTGTTAATAAAAGGATATCTTAAAACGATTTATTTAATGTGATTATCGATTAGAAACTTGATTTATTATTAGCTTACACAACCTCGACTTGTTCGCGTTTCTGTTGTAGGCGTCGCGGTTGAGTCTGAAATGATTCCATGATCTCTACCAACTTGTCGGTTCCTACGTCAGGAATCGCTAAGGCTTCCAGGAGACTCAGGAATGTGGTGGTTTGCGATATAAGATACCGTCGGGTTCTTGACACTAGTTGCATTAACGGTCCACTCCACAAACACTACTTGGTAGACCGGCACGTTGATTGCCGAGACTTCGGATTTGGTCTGTCGGTGCGGATGGTGTTCGCCTTTCGCTGCTGATTTCTGGGAGGCGAGCTGCACGTTCTTTTCTTTAGTACGCAGTAAGAGTCCCATTGGCGTACGCGTTGAGATGTAGGATTCTCTGATGCATTTCCGAGGTTTGCATATGTGTGACACCGATCCAGTTGAACTGAGGCATTCGTGGAAGTTGTACAGAGCTTCGAGTAGCCATTACTACTTGTCTTGAGGGTGCGCGGCATATCTGTTGATATTTTGCTAACTAGGGTAGGGTGGTTTAAAATTGGATTGAGATCACGCAATTATAACGGTGTTTACCTTTAAACAGAACCGTTAAGATCATGCAAAATACCTTTAAACACAACTGTTAAGATCATTCATTACTTTATATTAAAGTTATTATTAATAGCGATATATTAAAACTGCGCAGAAATAAAAGTGTGAAGGGCCTGAACGAGACCCCTCGGTTTCAGTTCCTTGTTTAACACTGGGATACATATATAGCAGATTATTAATATACAGATATATAGTTACCTGGGCCTCCTCTGCTAAAATGGACGCTCTTGCACCGGCCACAAGTATCCAGCTCTGCCAGCTCCAGTTTGACTAGCTTCCGGTATGCCCCGTTGATCGAATATGTGACTTAAACCTGAAATGTTTTGAAGATGCAATTAATAAAATATCAAAAAAATGAGTAGTAAAATGACAGCCCCTATAGAAAACGGAGTTTCTTGGTATTTAGTGTATGCTAGTCAAGCTCTAGTCACGAAGCACGAACGGCAGGGCGTACCGTAAGGTAACCCTACTCCCTAGCACGGCTCTGCGCGCCTTAAAAATAAAATACTGAAAGAATCTTAAAAGTAAACGCCTAACCCTATACTATTCCAAATCCAATATCATAATTTACAATACTCACCTATTTCTCCGTCTTTCCTCCTTCCATTCAAACCTTTATTTTATATCCTCATTTCCATTCCATACGAATGAGTACAAGTAAAACACTTTAAATATAAAATATGAAATGTATTAAACAAATAAAAAACAAGAATGATAAGAACAGCCAGTGCGAGACACCTCGTCCTCCCGAGCTTAATAAGGGCTGCTGTATGGCTCTGTGCTGGGCGAGGTGGGGCTGTGGAAATAGGGCGGGGGCGCCGGCTGGGTGTCCATTCTTGCCGCCTGTTGATCCGCCAAGTACTCCAATTCCACTTTTAGGTCTCTTATTCTTCTTTCTGCCCGCCTGAGGCGTTTCTTGAGTTCTTCTAACTCTTTCAGGTCATCGGTATACGCACTGCTGATGGCAGTAACGGCCTTCATCAGGTCCCTTGATGATGACATGCTAGTAACTAGAAAACTAATCTCTCCAAGCGATAATTGTTACTGGTTAAAAGTCAATAATAACAAATAATCATACACGTACCCTAGTGCGAAACCTTCAAGATCGACACTGTCGCACTACAGTACGCTACCCGTCTCGCTTTATATACAGTAAGATTAGTAATTATAGTTTATCGTCTAGTAACACTGACCTTGTACGCATGGTACGATTGATATTCTTCTATACTGAAGTCTCTTGTTCTTATGATGAAGTGATCATCATTTCTGAGAATGTCTTCAACTCCGAAAGTCGCTGACCTTTTGTAGTTTTCCTGAGAACGAACACAATTAACATGGTTGTTTTTGTGTGTGACAAGTAGTCGCCATGGTCTTTTAGGATGGACTTCATTGCCTCGTTCTGGTATACGAGCATGAACTTCGTATTTGTCTTCACTTCCTGCAACGTAGTTAATTTAGGACACCATCTTGCAATACACCCTTACTATCAACATGCTGTATAATGTCTATAATAAAGAACAATGATACTTACGTTTTGACCTTCATATTTTCTTGCAATATGTTTCATTTTACGATCCCAAACACTATAGCGCATAGTGTCTATCCCAAAACACACGGCTGTGGTAATGGTAATCCTCATGGATGTAGCTAACAATTATATTTTAGCTACATTTTGGCATTCGTACTTTCTTGCACGACGTCTCATTACTCTGTCCCAAATGCTATAACGTATATTCTCGATATTGAAGCAGACGGCTGTGGTTATAGTGATCCTCATGTTCGTGACTAACAACTCTATTTTTGCTATATAGTAACCTAGGCCTCCTCTGTTGGTATGGTGCTCTTACACCGTGTACAGCTGTCTAGGGTTGCTAGTTCGATCTTCACCAGCTTCCTGAAGGCCCCGTTTACCATGTACGTCACCTTCACCTGAGATGTTTTGAAGATGCAATTAATAAAATATCAAGAACTTGTAAAATGAGTTGTAAAATAACAGCCCCC